CAAAGCCTGGAACGCATCAGGCTTCTGATGATTTCGTTATGCCTATGAGCTTGAACACGATTCCTCAATTCGAGCGACTTAATAACGTTCAAGTAAACGTGTTTCAATATCAAAAAGGAGATCTCATTCCAATGATTGTCTCAAAGTTTGAAAGTTCAGATAATTTTATTATGGATCTGCTTTTGTTATATGAACCCGGAATGCACCACTTTGTTTTGATAAAAGACCTGCTCCGATTTGTTTGTGAAGTTCGAAAGCAAAAATTCCGAAGTTTCCTGCAGTTGTGTCGTAACTGTTATCAAATTCATTACAATGAAATTGATCATAAAACGCATGAGCGATTATGTAAAGATCATGAACCAGCTGTAGTGATAATGCCAACAGCTGAAAATGGCTGCCACAAGTATAAATTTAAAAACTTTCAAGCTCTCTGGTATGCACCTATTGTTGTTTATTTTGATTTCGAATCGTTCCTGAATCCCGTTACAACATGTATGAACAACCCACAAATTTCCTCATCTCGCGTTCTAGAAAAACATGAACCCTCCGGGTATTCAATGGTTGCTATTGATCATGAGTCCTCAGAACCATTTTTCTTTAGTCTTGACAGCTCTGAAAATTGTTTAGAAAACTTTATCAAAGAGTTACATCTATTAGCCCGAGACGTTTACATCTATAAACGGAAAGTACCACATTATTTGGGAGATCGCAGCCAACTGCGTAAAGAAGAAACTTTAACCTGTTGGATTTGTCAAGAAAACTTCAGTGAAAGCGAAGAAAAGTGCCTGGATCACTGTCACTCTTCGGGAAAATTTCTAGGATGGACCCACGACAAATGTAATTTAGCGCGAAGAAACATAAATTACATTCCAGTCGTGGGACACAATTTGCAGAATTATGACATGCATCATATATGTCTAGCGTTGAACGAATGTGACTCGCGTAGTACAATACAAGTCATTCCATCCACCGATGAGAAATATATTTCACTAATTATCGGAGTAGTGGTTAAAACCATTACACGAAAAGATCAAACAACACAAAACATTTATGAGTATCTTCGTTTTATAGATTCTTTCAAGTTTCTAAACTCATCACTACAAAAGTTAGTTGACAACTTGCCTGACAACAAATTTACAATTCTGGAAAACCACTTTCAAAACGTAAGCCAAACTTGTAGAACTCTCATACGTAGAAAAGGATTCTATCCTTATAATTACATGACCGACCGTAAAAAGTTTGACGAAAAAGAGTTACCGCCTCTCGAAAAGTGGGTGAATAGTTTAGACGGAGATAAAATTGCTATTAGTGCTGATAACTTGGTTGAAGCAAAAGAAGTTTTTAATCAATTCAATTGTCAGAACCTGCGCGACTATCATGACTTATATTTGTCATGTGACACATTGCTCCTAGCCTGTGTCTTTGAGGAATTCCGCTCTATCAGCTATGAAACATACAGCCTTGATTGTGCTCATCATTTCACCGCTTCCAATTTAGCTGGTGACGCTTTCAAGCGGGTATGTAAAGCTGATGTTGAATTGCTAACGGATCGAGATCATTTAGACATGGTTGAAAAAATGATGCGAGGTGGTACTGCATCAATCTTTGAAAAACGACAGTTCACTGCAAACAACAGGCAAATGAACGAAACATTTAATTCGAGCGAAGATACTACCTATGGCTTCATGGTTGATGCCAACAACTTATACGGTGGAGTAATGCAAACTCACAAACTGCCTGCACGTCATTTCGAGACAATCGGAGTTAGAAATGAAAGAAATAATCAAGAAAACGAAGATGAGAATTCCATGTCAATAGAAGAAATTTTAGCAACCCCTGACGATTCAGACTACGGTTATATTGTTGAAATTGATTTAAAATACCCTCAATTGTTGCATGAAAGTCACCGTGACTATCCACTGGCACCCACTAAGGAAGTTGTTCAAAAAGATTGGTTGAGCAGATACCAAACAAATATCTCAGAACAAATGAAAAACAATGAAAACTGTGGACCCACAATAGGTAAAGTGAAAAAACTTTTACAAACTCTACATGATAAAACTCATTATATAATTCATTATAAACTCCTGAAACTCTACGTGAAGCTTGGTATTATCGTTACAAAACTGTATCGCATCGTAAAGTTCAAACAAGAATTGTGGCTCGAACCGTACATAACTCTAAATACAAACAAACGAAAAGCGGCAAAAAACAAGTTTGAAGAAGCCCTGTACAAACTATTGATCAATTCAATTTATGGAAAAATGTGTGAGTCAAAAAGAAAGAGAATGAAAATCAAGATTTTACGAGATGCTGAAGAAACAATGCGAAATATAAGTAAGTTTGAATTTGAAACCTACAAAATTTTTGGCGAAGACATGGTTGCATTGACATTAGCACCAACGAAAATCAGATGGGATGTACCCACAATTGTAGGAGCGTGTATACTAGAGCTAGCAAAGTTTGAGATGTACAAATTTCACTACGAGGTTATGAAGCCCAACTTCAACTGTCACCTCTTGTACTCAGACACTGACAGCCTAATGTACGAAATAAAAACGGAAAAAAACTCGAATTTTTATGAGAAACTGTACGAGAAACGTGAAATTTTGGACAACTTTGACTTCTCCAATTATCCATCGGACCACTTCCTCTACAATGCAGAAAACAAACTTACAGTTTTAAAGTTTAAAGACGAATTCCCGGGTGATATAATAACAGAATTCGTTGCATTGAAGCCAAAGCTTTATTCAATACTATCGCAAAGTAAGTACATTTCCTTCAATAATACCGGCTCAAAATTGTTCAAACAGCGCTTTTTATTTTCAAAAATTAAAAAATTTCGAAAAATTTTTTTGAAAAATTTTGAAAGAAAAAAAATGTCAAAAATTTTTGTTGGAAAAAAAATTAAAAAAAAATTCGTCAAAAAAAATTTGGTTAAAAAAAAAATGTTAAAAAAAACGTTTTGTAAAAAAAAATTTTTTGTCATCAAAAAAAAAATTTGGAAAAAAAAATTTTAGAAAAAAATTTTGGAAAAAAAAAATTTTTATGAAAAAAAAATTTTGTCATCAAAAAAAAAATTTGGAAAAAAAAAATTGAAAAAAAAATTTTTTGAAAAAAAATTTTTTGAAAAAAATTTTTGAAAAAAAAATTTTGAAAAAAAAAATTTTGAAAAAAAAAAATTTATGAAAAAAATTTTTTGTGAAAAAATTTTTTACTGAGTGAAATTTTTGAGATGACTTAGGTTTTTTGGTGCTTCTGTGGGTGGGGGTAAGGGGGGAGGTATAGGTTAAATGGTTATCACCTTTTTTTTAAATGAGAGGGGGGGGGTGTGGATCTTCTGAAAAGGATGCGTTCATACTTTTTTTCTTCAATTTCAAGTATTAGTTTACAAAACATTTAGATATATAATGATTAGTGAGCATCATTTTTTTAATAGATACACGGAAGCACTCAGCAAAAGGAATCACTAAGGTGACTCAACGGTTGCTAACTCATGAAAAATACATCAAAACTCTCGCGTCTGGAAACCTTGTACGAGCCGAAAATACTCGCATCATCTCCGAGAGGCATATTCTGAACACTGTTCGAGCAAACAAAATCGCATTATCAGCCTATGATGATAAGCGATACATCCTCAGCGATGGTATCTCTACATTGCCATACGGTCACTATAGAACAGTAAATGCTTCTATCTTTCCCGATAGCAATCAGGATGATGATGATGATGATAGCGAAAGGAACGTGAGTGAGACTAATAGCACCAGTCACCACAAAGATCAAGATTTAGACGATTGGCTGAAATTTTTCGAGGAAGAAGATGAGATAGTCGACTGGGATCACGAGAGCTCGAACCAAGAAGAAATCTTTACGCAGGATACGAATTATGTGTCAGAAGATAGCTTTCTTGTGTTAGATACTCAACCGAGCCGTTCGTTGAGAGACCTGTTGAATAGTATCACCAGCTATGAAGCTCCAGATCCAGGTAGAGTTCGTGTCACAGAAATTGTTGAGAGTGATATCGAAAGCGATGATTTGGTTGATCCAAATGCAGTTACTTCTTCTTCGTCGTCGGATGATGAATGGTACCTCGACCGCGAAGCAGTTGAAGATTCAGCACCGCAATCAAAAAGACGTAAAACAAACAAAAAACTCTAATGTTGTGTGTTTGATTCAAGTTGAATACAAAATTTAATGTTGTAAATTAGTGTACTGTATTATACTTACTTTCCACGTTTGTTCACTGTTAGGTAATGGCGGGCTACTTTAAATCCACTTTTGGTTTTGTGTTACTATTTTATCTGGAGTGGTTTTGAGAGTTTTCATTTTGGAATTGACCCCAAACTGCTTTTGGTGCGTTTAACCGACACTTACTTCAGAAGATTGTGTGTATAATTCAACCATTTCAGTTCATATCTCTTTTCACCAAGACCAAAGCGTTTGTAGAAACATTGAAAGAACCAATTCGCAAAGACCTTCAACAGCAAAACACAATGAAAAGTTTTAGTTCAATTGGAATACAACATAGCTTGCCGAGCTATAGGTGGTGGAAAGAAATAATATATCGCCAGTACGATTTTGTTTTAACCAACACAACTTTCACATAGGGATCATTAGGTATAAATATTTTACATAGGGATCATTAGGGATAAATATTTTACATAGGGATCATTAGGGATAAATATTTTACATAGGGATCATTAGGGATAAAAATTATACATTGGGATCATTAGGTATAAATATTTTACATGGGGATCATTAGGTATAAATATTTTACATAGGGATCATTAGGTATAAATATTTTACATAGGGATCATTAGGTATAAATATTTACATAGGGATCATTAGGAATCTATACCCAATGATCCCTGTAGGGATCACCCCCCCCCCGATCCCAGTGTCGTATATCTATACTACTCAAGTGTCCTTCTATTTGCTTTTAAAACTGTTTCATGAGATTTGCGTAGGAAATGTGTTGATACGATTGTGTTCACGTGTAGAGTAGAGCTAGGAACCAGCAGAAGTTGCTGGACGAAGTGGACGATGTGGGCAATAATCCGGACAAGAAGGGGATATTGGGCCAGATGTACATGGTGTGGAGATTGTGTTGCAGTGAGAGTTCCATAGCAGGAGTGCCCAACTACTCCAACTCAGAAGGTAAGGTGGTATGGGGAAGGAGAAGGGAGGAGGGGGGTTTTGGTGGGTTTGTACAAAGTATACGGTCATAATTGAAATGACAGTTTTATGTGATGTTTCGGCCAAACACGTCAAAAAGCGACCTATTCACAAGCAAGCCAAACAGCCAAACACTGTTAAGAGAAATCAAGAAGGCAGAAGTTATGCGTTTGTATTCGGTTTCAGCAAAATGGTGAGTTGAAGCGATGATTATGTGGTTAAATCTTTCGCCTCTCGGTCAAAAGATCGGTGCACTGATGCCAACGTGATCTTATGCTTGATGACAGGGGGCTAGTCTACATTTTCATCTCAGAAAATTACCATAAAAGTTGCATGAAGATTTAAACTAGGGAAACAACAGCGGATCTCCGTTGTGATACTGCAATAGAAGTAACCAGAGAATACTGAAAAGATTTATGATATTAATATGGTGTAAAAAAATCAAGGTCATGGTCAGCATCGGTTGCTGCGTGACAAAAAAAAACATATTTTAGATTCAGGGTGCTGAATACGTCATTGCCAGGGAGCGGATAATAGTTGCTTTCAAAAAGGCAAAAAAGTTACTAAGAAATTGCTCAAAATTGACTGGAAAATTTGCTCAAAAAGTTGGCAAAAACTTGCAGAAAAACGTTAAATTTACATGGGCCTAGGTGGTAAAGACAACGTTGGGGCAAAACTTTGGAAAATTCGGATATGCTTTGGCGACTTCCGGAAAACTTTCTTCGAAAGAGCAACAAATTGATCGGCAAGCTTGAATTTTTGGCGTACTTGGTCGGCCACGTTATATAGGGATGGCTGAGCTGCCATTGGATAATTAATATTCGCCAGCTGCAGCGCATCTGTGTTCGTTGAATCCGTTAATATGAGCTTCAAACAAAGAAAACTTCCGAAAAAGTTGCTATTGTGAAGTTTATTGGAAAATAGATAGTTATAGGGAAAAAACAACAGAAAAGTTGGAAATAGTTGTTTTTAGTTGCTAAAACTATTATCCGCTCCCTGGTCATTGCTTATGTAACGATCTGTTACATTCATCGAAAATGAAAATTTGCAATTGATTGAAATGAGAATTACGAGAGAACTCGTATTAACGCAGATTGCATTATAACACAAAACGTTAGCCAGCAGGATTCGCAAACCAAGAAAAGGAACGGACCTGAGTAACCCCGTATACTGGGCATAGGATGCAGTAGGTCCACCATGGCTGATAAAGTTTGATATGATCGGGTCAGTTTCTGATAGCAGCGGCAGTATAGAAAAATGTGGATTCGCACTTAAAATTACTAGAACAAAAAATACTAGAGCCACTACTACGACCAGATTCACGAAATCAACGACTGTGGAAGCTGCATGACGACAAGTAAACCGAATCGCAAAAAAAGATCGACACAGAAACATAAAATATGTGGAAAATATCAGTGGATGATATATAGGAAAGAAAGTAAAAAAAAAACGATTGCGAAGGAACCCTCGAACCGAAGTTATAAAATAAACGTTTAAGGATGTGTATGATATGATCACGGTAAAAATTGAAAAATGAAAAGCACAACATACGGCAGGTATAAGTTGTCCACAAAAGCACAGGATACATACAGGAGTCGCTGGAAACGTTCTAAGCAGCCCAAAATGCCCAAGCAGCTAGATCACTGCTGGGAGCGCTATAAAGTGAACTGGTAAGTATTTGTTTATATAGAGATTGAGGAATGTACTAATCCAGGATACAGTTGGTTTAAAACACTGTCTCGGGAAGAAAAGAAGTGCAAAAAGGAGCACAAAAAATTTCGAGAACAAACAAACAGCGCAAATTTCCAGAAACATGGTCAGGCAAAAAGGAAACACTGTTATAGAAATGAAAATCAAACAAGGACCGATAACGATTATAAGGAATCATAGTGACAAAAGACTCAAAAGAGACTTTAAAACTTTCAGACTGGGACGAAGATAAAACAACACGGACAAAGACAAAAACAAACCACTCCTCAGGGGGGAAGAAAGAGAGCTGCAAAAAAGATAAACCATTTTGCAAAATTGTGTGAACCCCAACAAGTAAACAAGTTAGCAGAAGAGTTTCAGAAGAATTAAGATAAAATGATATGAGAGAAGACGCAGATTTGGTGGACTAAATTAAAATTAAGGGAGTTGAAACAATGATTCTTCTGATGGAAGTAGAAAAATTTATGTTCAAGACAACGAAAAAAAAATCAGAAGCTGCAGAAGTAGCACAGATCCAGATGAAAAACTCAAAATGGAAGAGATTCTGGTTCAAAAAGCCTGAAAATTTTGAAAGCTCTAGCTAGTTAGAGTAGATAACCTTAATATACACATGGCAATCGATACAGACAGTGCCTACAAATAACTGGACAACAGCAATGCTGTTATTAGATTTGTCAAATTTCTCAAAAATCAGGGATAGAAATCGTACATGAATGCACGATTAATCGATCATACTGAAAACCCAAAAAAGTCCAAGGAGCACAGAACTCAAAAGAGACCTGAGAGGGTGGGTAATACCAGAAGTTGTTCTCCTAATTACTGAAACCAAAACAAGGTGTATATTATTACCACCTATAAGTACACTTGTTGTTATTACCAATATCCATGATACATTAGAAAAGGGCGGATCTAGAATGGTTGGGGCAAATTTGCAAAAATAACTGGAAAACTTTTGGACCAATTGTTTAGGTCGACCAATCTGTTTATCCAAGTTTGCTGAAAACGACTTCTTTTTTTAAACCAAATTGCGCAATTTACTATAATAATAATAATAACAATAATAAAAATCATAATCATAATAATAACAAATTGAATTTAAAAGTAAACAACTCTAAGGGCCGACGGCCCATCAGTTAACAAGTCCGAGTCTGTAGTTGGTAGAGTTGATGCATGATGTACACCAACAGAATATCGTCCACGTACAGCTGTTCCCATGTTCGTAGGATGATATGAAGTAATTCCAGTACAAGTTTGTTAACCTCTGCTTCAAACCGGTAGTTTCGAAAAAATCTACTAGGGAGCCAATCATATTAGCTAACTTGGGTGCCCGATACCAGAAGTTCTGCTGATATCTGCTTTGGCGGGGTGTCTCAACGTCGAACAGAGTTCTTGCTGATCTACGCGTAGATACATCATTTGCGAACGAAACATATTCATGCCAGTCAGCTTCATAACTACCAGAGATAAAAGAAGATAACAACAACAAATCATGCATTTCAAGATACAGAGAAGCTGGAAGTAACTTAAGTTTTAGAAGGCGTTCTTTGTAGTTGAGCTCTGAACCCACAATCCACCGGGTGGCGATCTGCTGCACATGTTCCACGACCCTGCTAACACCCTTGTTTGCGTACCAAATTTGGCTGCTGTAAGGCATGATGTATCCACAGTAAATGTTTAATTTCGTTGTGATTGACAGTCGTGAGGACGTATTGCGCTTAACGGCGAAGAGAGACCAATTGCTTCCATGCTCTAGAAACCCCAGATCCTTCTGGTTGTCGACTGTTGAAATTTCGGTTGACTGTAGTGAAGCCACAGGAGCAGCTCCTTTGATACAAAGTATCTTACATTTGTCTTTGTAACAACTTATCAAATTATCAGCACACCATTCGCTAAGCAATTCTGCATTTCTGGGTATTTCATTGTTGTTAATTGTCAAAACTTTCAAATCGTCTGCAAACAAGAACGGTTGCCCACTGAACAGATCAGGCAGGTCGTTGACATATAAAAGAAATAGTAATGGACCAAGAAGAGATCCTTGAGGTACACCGCTTCTCAGTGAGATGGGATCAGAAACAGAGCCATTAACTTTTACAAATTGGCGTCGTCCAGAGAGATAACTATGTAGGATGTCGTAGAGTTTCCCTTATACACCAATACTACGTACCTTCTGCTACAACACTTTGTGGCTGACTTTATCAAAAGCTTTTTCAAAGTCCTGTGATAGTTTTGTCCTGTGATAGTTTTGTCCTGTGATAGTTTGGTAGATATTGAGTTCTGTGATAGTTTTGTCTTCATAGTTTCTATAAAGCTTATGCACAAACTCTAACATTTGCACAACAGTAGATCTCTTCCGTCTGAAACCTTATTGCTTTCGACTCAATACTTGTTCCACCTGCTTATAAAGAGCATCGGAGATAGTTTTTTCGAACACTTTCGAGACACAGTTCAGTAGAGCAATAGGACGGTAGTTCTTTATGTTACTTCGGTTACCGCTTTGTGCACCGGGGAGACTAGTGCTGTTTTCCAGGGCTCTGTAAACTGCCCTTTGTTTACACATGTCCAGAGAATTCGACTGAGAGACGGTGAGAGGACTGTCGCTAGGTTTTTTCAATAGTCGATTGGGAATCGCGTCCGGTCCTTGGCTTTTCGCTGGGTTTAATTTCTCTAATATAGCACTCACGTTCTGTTCCGTAAATATCCATCCGCCCAGTGAGATCCGGGTTTGAGATGTTACCAGGATAGTGCGCTGAGTCACCTTCCGAGAACACACTGGCAAAGTAGTGGTAGAATAGTGGCTGTACCCAAGTCTGTTGACGCCCTGAATTGGCTGTACCCAAGTCTGTTGACGCCCTTTGTGGCCATTGAACACTGTGTGCGGTATGGGACATGGCTTTTGAACGCATTTCATATACTTATGGATAGCAGAGAACTTGTGATCACTCACAAGATTATGCTCATAAATTGCCTGGTCTACCACAGAAGCTTCATTGAGTAGGAACTCTCGTTGCTGGACTTTTATTCCATGGGACAATGAAGAATTTTTGTCGAATTTCTTTCTCTCGGTTTCAAGTCTTTTCATAATGTTAGAAGTCACTGGTGTGACCCAGGGTGGCAATGCTTTTTGGTGTCTGGTTCTTTTTGGTACACATAAACTAAAAGTTTCTTTTATCCAGTCATCCTAGGTAGTGCATAGAACATCCACATACTGTAACAATAGCCAATGAAAGAATGCTCGCGGAAGGCTGACTCAACTATTTCCCAGTCGACATTCGAGAAACTGAATACAGGAGCGTTAGTTGGGTTAACATTAGCAATGGTAGAGTCCAGCTGAATAACATATGGGAGATGATCTGAGCAGGAACGGCCATCCAATGAATAAACTTTGTGAAGGTTTAGGTTTGTCTCAGTACTAAAGATACTGTTGCGGTTGGACATTAGCACAACATCCAGAGAATTTGATGATCCAGACTTTCGGAGCAATTGCTCAAGGTTTATGTCAACAAACAAGCCTAGAAGGCTTTGCTCATAGTCATCATTCGAATGACTGGTGTCCCAGTTTGCATCAGAGAGATTGATATCGCCAACTATAATCAAGTCTGCAGTTAGTTCCAGTTTTCTAGTAGTCAGTGTATCTAGTAAGTATTTCACTTCCATGGTGCTCCAGGGATATGGACTCTCTGCAGGAGGGTTGTAGGCAACGCATATAATAAGTTTCAGTCTCGAGTCCAATTGTATGACTGCTGCAATAGCCCCATTGAGCGTCAGTTCTATTAATTCGTAGTCCAAGTCGGATCGTATGCCCAGGATAACTCCTCCATGTCCAGAATTGCCTTTGGCATTTGGCTTCCGCTCACTGCGGTGTATTTCGTATGCTGGTAAAAAGATTGTGTTATCTCTGACATGATGAGTTAACCAAGTTTTAGTAAGAAAAATTATTTGTGAGGAATCATGCGCAGTCATTGCGTTGGCAAAAGTCTGTCTCCGGTTCATTTCAAGAATACTACGAATATTGTAAACAAAGATTCCGATGTTGCACGGTCGGGTCTCGGCTAGTCAGTTGTTTTGAACATCCACTTCTACCCAAGAATTGGCGTCAAATTTCTCAAGAATCAGCTTTCTCATTCAAAGACGTTTTCGTTCAACTCCATCGTTTTCAATTAATTCCTTTCTTTTTTTAAAAGCTGTTTTTCTCGAAAGAACTCCTCATTTGATAGTTTTGGGCTGACGAAGACCTTTTCCGCGTATTACCTAAGTTTGAAAGCAGATAACAAGACTAGTTTTTTATGCACAGCATTGGTCACTTTTATCAGTATAGTTCTTGTCTTGTTCTGTTCATACTTGCCAAGACGTCTAATGTCAGTAATTGAAACGTCAACGCCCATGTGGAGTAATACTTTCTCAACTTCTTCCATATGGTGTTTATATCGCTCTTCAGGTTTGCCACTTTTCGATTCAGGCACGCCGCGGAAGCGAATGCCTTCTGGTTCGGCTGCTTTGGTTGAGGTTACTACTTTTTCAGTGTCTCTGGCGTTTGACAATGATTCAACATTACTTTCAATATTTTGCAAGCTGTCTTTGAAATCCGACACACTGTTTTCTTGGACTTGTCCAGAAATTTCAATTATCTTCTCTTCAAGAGCTTTCACTATTTCACTCTGCTTTTGAATCTCAGCTGACACTCTTTGATCATTTCTGTTGGTAGCAAGTATGTTCACTGCTACATCTGGTTGATTGTTGTTAACACAATTTTTACAAATTATCAGTAGATTCATGTTAACTTTCAGGAGTGCTTCGATAGTTTCTTATTCCATTTTGGTAAACTGTGTAGTGAAGTGGAACACTGCACCACAGCAGACACAGAGGAATACGTCATTGTTTCCAAGTGTTTTGCTGCACGTTTTGCAGGCTTCAGTTGACACAAAACTGGCAGCAGGCATTTCGAAAACCACCATCAGAATCGTAGTGAGCTGGCCCGGTAGTGTAGTGGATAAAACGCTCGCTTTTTGCTCAAGAGCTCGGCGGATCGAGCCCCAGCAACGTCAGTTTTATTTCCGTTTCTCGATATCTGGTCGCCAGTCGTCACTCGATCAATCATCAATCTCCAGCCTTTTAATATGAAACTATTTAATAAGTTGAAACTATTTAATACGTTTTTTTAATAGGTTGGTTCAGTGCGCTGGTTCAGTGCTCAAATTTATCACATATTAGCTCCCAAGGTTCCTGTAGAAAACTTGGAGGTAGTTAAAGATATCCATGCGGGTTGACCAAAAATGCTCGTCATACAACTCTCATATATGGAAAAAAGCTTATCATACAATTTTGTACAATTCCACACGGACAGAAAATTGTAAGAAAACTCTAGGATAAGCATTTTTCATTTATGAAAATTGTATGACGAGCAATTTCCTTTAAGTTAGAAAGTTATTATTTTCGAAATTTGCTTAAAAACTTTTGTCTGTTGTCCGAGTAAACAAAAACCAAAGATTTCTTAACTCAGGAAATTACGGTAAGTGAGGTGAAGATATCTCTCAGATAATTGCTTTTGAGTAATAATTGTATGAGATTTTCTTGCATAGCTCACTCAGAATAAAGACAATAAATTTTTGTATTCGGCTCGACTGTTTTTAGTCAAACACTTCACTAGTCGAAAATCGTGGCCTAATTTTTTTTGGCAAATTAAAGTTTACCTTATTACGAAATTATCGAAAATTTCCTTTTGGATTGGCACAAAAAATCTTGTCAATTTTGTTTCTCTTGCAGACAAAAATGAACCATTTGCATGCAAAACTTTTTTAGAAACAGGCTTATGCGAGCATGAAAGCGATATTGCGACTGAAAATTGAGACAAAAAATCTCTTTTTCTTGTATAGAAAAAGCGTGTTTTCGTGTATGAAGGTCAACCCGAGCCGCTACTGTAGTATATAACTGTTTATTTGTTTATCTGTGTATTTCCAAGGGGGGGGGGGGTTCTGCGGATTTTAAAATGATCTGGCTATTGTATTAGATAACTGTTTATTTGTTTATCTGTGTCATTCCGGGGGGTCACTGGGGGTTTTAAAGTGATCTCGCTCTTGTATTAGATAACAGTTTATTTTCTTTATCTGTGTCCGCTACTGTAGTACATAACTGTTTTTTGTTTATCTGTGTCTTTCCGGGGGGGGGGATTGTTAAAGAGATCTCGCTACTGTACTAGATAACTGTTTTTTTTTAAAATCTGTGTCCGCTACTGTAATAGATAACTGTTTTCTCACTCTGTGTCTTTCCGGGGAGAGGGAGGCGGGTTTTGGGTTGTTTTGTTGGGTTGTTGGGTCATGGGTGTTGTTAAATTGTTAAATTGTTAAAGTGATCCCGCTATTCTACTGGAATGCTGTTTATCTGTCCAGGTCGTGTGCTTCCCAAGTTCTGGCTGGTGGCGAATTTACTCTGCTGGAGTGGCTTCATAGTAGTGCTCTCTTTCCTTGCCAAGCAGTACAGTGGCTTCCCCACAACAGTTGCAGTGGACATAGTGGCCAACAACTCCCTCCTCTTCCCCTCCGTCTCCATCTGCAACATGAACAGGGTCTCCCAGCGGAAGCTGAACGGAAACAGCTACTACCAGGTGGCATATTTGAAAAATCAACATAAATCAAACCACCAGATGATTGGTCGACACCAAATAGATCGAGGAGTTTTGGTGCTTTTGGCATTTATTGTAGCCCTCTTTGTGTTTTTATACTTGTAGCCCTAGATTTTTGGCAATTTTGCTAGCATTTCAAAATTTTTATTTGTCAAAAATATAAAACTAAAGAGAGGACAAGGATTTTTACTTTTGTTTCTAAAAAAAATTGAACTCTGAAAACAACTTTAGACGCCAGCAGGGGCGGATCTAGGATTTTTTCGAGGGGGGGGGGGGGCGATTTTCAAAAATTTTTCGAAAATTTTGACGACCTTTTTTTTAGGTCGACCAAATTGATTTTCCGAGCTCTTCTAAAGCACTGAAAAATCCCTGATTTGGCCAAATTTTCTGCGCCACAGGCAAATTTTTGTAAAAACAGGTCAAAAAAGCCGTTTTTAGGGACTTTTTGAAAAATTTTGACAAAAAAATCGCGTTTTTTTGGCGCGCGCTCCCCCTCAAAGTTAGTATATATTGGCGCCAAAGGCGCCTTTAGAAAAATTTTAGGGTCGGTCGGCAAAAAATGGATTTCTTAGAAAGTACCAAAGGGGGGACCCTTTGGGTCGGGAGGGGGTCGAATCCCTGAGGGGGAAGGGGGAGGGAGGCGTCCGCCCCCCCCCCTAAATCGGCCCCTGGACGCCAGTTCAAAATCACTAGGTTATCTCTCCTGGAAAGCAATTTTTCGACCATTACATTGGATAACAAACTTTTGCAAACAGAACGGAAAAGGCCATATTTGAATGTTTTTGATAACTTTTCCCATTTTGAAAGTTTTTTTGTTATCACACTTACGGGATGCCTTTTAAGCTTGCTTTGCGGTATCTAAAATCTTATGGGAAAAAAATGCAATTCAGAACAGAAGTAGAAAAAATATAGACTCACACCTGCAGCGGATCAGTAGCCCCCCCCCCCCCCCCTGCTCCTCTTTTCAGGGATTGGACCCCCTGGCGACCCAAAGGGTCCCCTATTTGGTACTATTTTAATGCATCCATTTTTGGGTTAGCGGCCCTAATAGTTTTCTAAAGGCGGCTTGGGCTCCAATATTAACTAATTTTGAGGCGGAGCGCGCGCCGAAGCAACGCAATTTTTTCGGCCAAAACTTTCCAAAAAGGCACAAAACGCATTTTTATGCCTTCATTTTTTCTCAAAAAAGGCTTGCAAAACAGAGTCTTTATAGTGACTTGTGAGAGCATGGAACATCTGTCTGATCGACCAAAAAAAAGTCGACAAAATTTTCCAGTTTTTTAAATCCCCCCTCGCGAAAATCCTAGACCCGCCTCTGACTCACATCCAATCATGTCATTTAAAAATCAATTCATTCCAGGCACTTCCAGCTTTGCAATCAATCGTGCATGCAGACTTTTTGCGGCTGCGTGAGGTTCAACTGGGCACGCCTTTCTACATCAACCAATCAGAATGCAGAGACGAGAATCTTTTCTGGTGCCTGGATGGTCAAAATTGTATTTCTACTACGGATTACTGCGATGGTACACATTATAAGAAAGGCTTTTTTCAACGAACAATTTGTTTTGATGAACGCGGAAAAATGAGAAAAGCTAAAAGCGGCAAAATTTTTTGTTCAGTGTCCTCCAAACCTGAATTTTGGTTTAATATAACATTTAGCTATCCCTTTATCAAGCTTGCAACAGATTCATTTCTTCAAATCGCGCTCGAAATCTCAGTAATGATTTTGAGTGTTCATATATCATGTCGCTATTTGGTAAAAGTCAATTGAAAAGTAAACTAAAACAAAAACTTAGTTGAAAAGCAAACCTTGCAAGACTATTGCGAAGGGATGCAAATCATGCAAGAATCTTGCAAGAATTGCTCTCTCAAATCAGAATGCAAATTTTACCAGAATCTTGTGAGTATCTTTAAAGATTTGCATTCAGAATTGAGAATGGAAATTTTGCAAGTTTTAATTTTTGTTAACCGCGCGTAAAAATTTTACCAACACTTTTTCTTATGCTTTTTTCCACTTCCCCTCAGATTTTATTTTTTCCATTTTCGCTATTGTCTTACGTTTTATTCTATGCTGAATGCGTGATGTTTGAAAACAACTCTTTTTACTTTATTTGGAAACAAATTATAATTTGAGAAGAAACATCAGTTTATAATCAATATAATTGCTCTACTTAAAATCAAATGATACGAAATAATCACGCATATAGCATTGAACGTTTTTTTATCGAATATATCATAATTTTAGTACCATTATTGCTAAAATTGGTAAAATTTGTTCTAATCGATTAAAAATTGATTATAGTTTCTCTATTTAAAAACAAAAAAAAATTAATCAATACACTTTTTAATCTATCATAAATGATTAATAGTTCATCAAGTTTTTGATACAGTTTTAATTGATTGTAATCGATTAATTTTATTCCAACTTATTGATTACTTTTAAGCAGAAAAACCCATTTGAATTTATTATAATTGATTATAAATTGTTTCGATTGTCCGTTTTATCCACGATAATGCATCTGAGTTGTTTATATTTTATGCTTTCAATAGATTTTGTTTTATGTGAAAAGTTGGAAAATGGTTTTAGCAGTTTTCAAATCAATTGAAATTTATCAAATCAATTAGTTATTTTTCATCTACGGTGGAAACTTTCCAACTAAAATGAAGGGATCTCTATAAAGTTTTTATTTTGTGGTACAATTTTGTGTCCTGATGAGATTTTGTTATTAATAGAAAAATAATAAGCCATAGGATATAGTAAAAAGCATTTTGGAAAAATAAGAGTATAAACTCAAATATAGAATAGTTTATAACTAAACTAAAGAGTTTTTTTTGTATGAGCTATAATCAATTTAAATGGATTATAAGATATTATAATCTCATGGAAAACATCACGATTGTAGTCGTTAATCATTTCAGCAAATTTTGGTAATTATAATCAATTATAGGCGTCAAAAAATAACATAATATTCCGTAATAATCGGTTACTTAAGCTTAAAATCGGATCCGGGATGTAATTTCTTGCAAGATTTCTTGCAAGGTTTCCACTCCGAGAACACTGGAGCGTTTCAATAATTATCCTACAACTTTTGGTTGCAGAACTGACAACTGAAAACTGGCAAAACTTAACTTTTATTTTTTAGTCGCTGGATTGGTTTTTATCAGCAAAAATTGAGTCGATGAAATATTTGATATAAACTTTTTTATGGAAACGTAACCAAAATATGATTCATTACGAGGCCAAACTGTGCACTGGATAGGCGCACAATTTTGTGTCTGTATGTTCCTGGATTCCAGAGACAAGTCTTGAACCATGTTTAAATTTTGTCGGAACAAAAAAAGAAAATGAAACAACAAAAGAAGAACAAAGGGAGCGTCCTTGTCGCGGAATCCGCTTACAATGCACAAAGTTCACAGTTTGGCATCGTGATGTTTTTTTTTGTAGAAAAATTTGTTATTTCTAAATTTTTTTTTGTAATGACTTCACTTGGAACTAGTTTATTGTGATTATTATGATTATGCATCAGATGTAATGTTTTTCGGAGGCCTTCGATTGGAGCAATTTGTGGCTTTTTTGCCTACCTTTTATGCAATTTTATTTTTTTTGCTCATAATGTCTGATTGTGGGATGGTTTCTGACGTTATGAAAGTTGACATGTCTACTAACTAGGTTATTCCAAATATATTTGGTTTCCATATTTAACATAGTAAACCCAATTTTTATACAATAAAACTGAAGCTTATGTGAGAGTAAGTTTCTAAAAGTATACGTTAAATTTCTAAAAGTATACGTTAAATATGAGCCATTAATTTTAGGCGTCGAGGACTGTGATGACTTATCGGACGAGGACAACTGTTCTTCCATTACTCCCCGCACCAACGACACATTCGACGACCTCAATGGCTCAGAGCGGGGGCTGCTCAACATCGACCTATACAACAAGGTCAGCTTTATCAGATGCAATTGAGAATTCGAATCATGTTAGAGATCCCTCCCGATATGATTCCTGAGAGGATCATACGTCCACCTCTATGAAAATTGAACCGATTGATTCGTTGAGATTATGCAAAATTAATACAGTTTTTGGTTGCTAGTTTGAATGCCAAAAATGGGAAATTTAATTGCAGTTTTCAGTTGTTGGATTGAGTTCTATCAGAAAAATCTCAGTTTCTCTGTTTTTGTCGAATTTTAAAAAATTTTTACATAAAAACAGCTCAAATGTTTGTACAATCGTTTTTGATGATCTTACTTTCCAAGAAAATGAAAGAAAATTTGTTTATAATATGGTTGATTTCTCAGGACAAATTATAATTTTTATCCAGACGTTTTGAACCGGACATTTAAAGGCCATTTGAAAAACATTTGATGCCCTGTGCTCAAAATTTAGAAAGAAACTGTACTGCGATAGTTTTTTTAAAAAAAAAACGGTGGATTTTTGAACCCTGATAATGTGGCGCAATAGAGGGCGGTGTAACGACTGGCATAAAGTTTGACTAGCATAAAACGTAAATCACTAGAAAAGGTGGTTCTCCTTCTACGCCGGTTTTGCCGCTAGAGGCTCCGGGTAACTGCAGTAATAGATTGAACAAGATAATATTAACTTGACCAGACAGGAACAAAAGTTCCCTTACTCTCTTTTTCTCTCTCTCTCTTAAACATAAACGATCTCTCTAATTCGAAGCAGAGATCGATGTAGCTACAACAACAACAATTAGCATAAATTTTTCAAAAATGAAAAAAGTATCGACTAGCATAAAAATCTAAATTCAAATATCGTCAAAATTGGCCAGGGTTATCTCAAAAAATTTCATCCACGCCTTGCAAAGAATTGTCCCCCCCTTTTTGCAATAGGAAGGGGGCAAAAACAAAAAGATGAAAATCACTATACAGAAAAAAACGGATACCGTTAGCTATTCTTCCAACCTTTGGTACTTAGTAACAAAATGAAATCAATGTTGTGAAATAATTAAACGGTTAAGCATGTGCTAATTTTCAATCTAGTAACAATTCTCCTGCCTATAGCAAGGGGACATAATGAAGATCCCAAAAAATACGTCTAAATCACAGTTTCCCACACTTTTAACTATTTGTTTTGGCAATAAGTGTTCGCTTTAACCCTACGGGCTTACCTCAAGCTTACATGTCGCGCTACCGGTGAATCTATATTTTTCTTGAAAGGGGGAAGGGACTGATTTCCGTAAAACAGACAAATAGGTGTTAAAAAGGATTTTTTTTTCAAAAAAAAAAAAGAATTTTTAAAATAAAACCAAAGCAGACCTTTCGGTTCGGCAGGGGGTCGAATCCTCGAAGAGCTTCAAAACCTCTCCCACCCCTTCTCTAAATCCACCCCTTGTTCGGTGTGAGGTATGACTGATCGGATTTTATGTGTTAAGGAATTTCTTTTGCTGGTTGAATGCCAAATTTTTCTTTTTTCTATTTCACAGAAATGCAAGTTTCACTTTGAAAAGATTCTTTTCGTCTTGGAAAAAAAATTTTCAAAGTTATTCTAGTAAATACGTTTTCATGTATTCAAAATTTTATGCTAGTCGAGCTTTATGCTAGTCGAGCGATCAATGAAATAAAGACAAGCTGAAATTTTTTTGCGTGTTGTAATAAAAAGTTTCATAAAAAAATTACAATTCAGGCATATTCGACAGCCATAGTAAAACAATGGCAATTTTTCAACAATTTTTTCAGAGAAATGACTGGAAAACAAAAAAAATAATTATTTTTCTCAATACCTTTGCATCAAAATTTTCGCTACAAAGTGCATTAAATTTTGCAAAGCAATAACGGTTTTTCTGCGTGTTGTAATAAAAAGTTTTATAAAAAAAAATTGAATTTCAGGCTTAATCGACAGCCATAGTAAAATAATAGCATTTTTTCAACATTTTTTTCGGAAAAATGACTGGAAAACAAAAAAAAATAATTATTTTTCTCATTATCTTTGCATTAAATTTTTCGCTACAAAATGGCGCTACAAAGTTGGAAAAAATCCCTGAAACTAATCCCTAATCCCTTTTCACAGCTTGATTTAATAAATAAACTATTGCGAGCCGGCTCGCTCAAGACAAAATCAGACCAAAACTCAAAAACTTCAAACAAATTTTTCTCGTTTTTTTTCGCAATAAAAAATTGTTCAAATCACGACCGAAAGGTATTTCATAAGATATATCTATATCCCTTATCCCATTTTGATGCTTTCAAGTGGTATCTGGTTTTGGGTGGAAACCAAAAAAAAGAAGGAAACACAAGAAAACGAAAAAGAAAGAAAGAAAGAAAGAAAGAAAGAAAGAAAGAAAACTGAAACACACCCGAAAACAAATTTCAATGGTCAAAACAACAAGAAATTTTATCAAACAATAAATGGCCATCTGAACGTTCATGGCTTCAACTTGATACTATCAAATGTATAGTCTTTATTTTCAAACTTGAAACTTGATTTTTACTTGTCAGGGGAAAAGTTTTATAAGGAGCGCTGATGATCCAATTTTGTCAAACTACAAAAATTTATAGCCGAAAAAGTCGATCAAAGGAATATGGCTTGGGTGTTTTTTCAAGGCATTTTAATACCTCAAAAACAGAGAAAGCTCCTAGAAGGTCAAGAGTGGAATACTATCAAAAGCTTGCAGCCTTGATTTGAAGAAATGTACAAAAAATTTCACAGACTGTCGCCAAAAAGATTTGTCTGAATTACTTTGTGCATTATATTTTAAAAAACTTGGTAGCATAAATTTTTCAAAAATGCAAAAATATCGACTAGCATAAAAATCTAAATTTAAATAATGTCAAAATTGGCCGGGGTTATCTCAAAAATATTCATCCACGCCTTGCAAAGAATTATCCCCCCCCTCTTTTTGCAATAGGAAGGGGGCAAAAACAAAAAGATGAAAATCACTATACAGAAAAAACGGATACCGTTAGCTATTCTTCCACCGTTTGGTACTTAGCAACAAAATGAAATCAATGTTGTGAAAAAATTAAATGGTTAAGCATGTGCTAATTTTCATTCTAGTAACAATTCTCCTGCCTTTAGCAAGGGGGACATAATGAAGATCCCAAAAAATACGTCTAAGTCACAGTTTTCCACGCTTTTCACTATTTTTTTTGGCAATAAGTGTTCGCTTTAACCCTACGTGCTTACTTCAAGCTTACAAGTCGAGCTACCGGTGAATTTATTTTTTTTTGAAAGGGGTAAGGGACTGATTTCCGTAAAAACAGACAAAATAGGTGTTAAAAAGGATTTTTTTTAAAAAAATAATTTTTAAGTTAAAACCAAAGCAGACCTTTTGATTCGGCAGGGGGTCGAATCCTCGAAGCGCTTCAAAACCTCTCCCACCCCTTCTCAAATCCACCCCTTATTCGCGTTGAGGTATGACTGATCGGATTTTATGTGTTAAGGAATTTCATTTGCTGGTTTAATGCCAAATTTTTCTTTTTTCTATTTCACAGAATTGCAAGTTTCACTTTGAAAGGATTCTTTTCGTCTTAGAAAAAAACTTTCAAAGTTATTCTAGTAAAAACATTTTCATGTTTTCAAAGTTTTATGCTAGTCGATCTTTATGCTAGTCGAGCGATCAATGAAATAAAGACAAGCTGAAGTTTTTTTTGCGTGTTGTAATAAAAAGTTTCATAAAAAAATTGAAATTCAGGCATATTCGACAGCCATAGTGAAATAATGGCAAGTTTTCAACATTTTTTCCAGAAAATTGACTGGAAAACAGAAAACATTTATTTTTCTCATTACCTTTGCAATAAATTTTTTGCTACAAAATGGCACTACAAAGTTGGAAAAAATCCCTGAAACTAAATTTTTACGGCTTGATTTAATAAATAAACTATTGCGAGCCTGCTCGCTCAAGACAAAATCAGACCAAAACTCAAAAACTTCAAACGGATTTTTCTCGTTTTTTTTTTCTTAATTGTTCAAATCACGACTGAAAGGTATTTCATAAGATATATCTATATCCCTTATCCCATTTTGATGCTTTCATGTGGTATCTGGTTTTTTGTGGAAAACGAAAAAAAGAAGGAAATACAAGAAAACGAAAAAGAAAGAAAGAAAGAATGAAAGAAAACTGAAACACACCCAAAAACAAAGTTCAATGGTCGAAACAACAAGAACTTTTATCAGACAAAAAATGGCCATCTGAACGTTCATGGCTTCAACTTGATACTATCAAATGTATTGTCTATTTTTTTAAACTTGAAACTTGATTTTTTTTTGTCAGTGGGAAAATTTGTATAAGGAGCGCTTTGTAAAACGAAAAAAAGAAGGAAATACAAGAAAACGAAAAAGAAAGAAAGAAAGAATGAAAGAAAACTGAAACACACCCAAAAACAAAGTTCAATGGTCGAAACAACAAGAACTTTTATCAGACAAAAAATGGCCATCTGAACGTTCATGGCTTCAACTTGATACTATCAAATGTATTGTCTATTTTTTTAAACTTGAAACTTGATTTTTTTTTGTCAGTGGGAAAATTTGTATAAGGAGCGCTGATGATCCAGTTTTGTCAAACTACAAAAATTTACAGCCGAAAAAGTCGATCAAAGGAATATGGCTTGGGTGTTTTTTTCAAGGCATTTTAATACCTCAAAAACAGAGAAAGCTCATAGAAGGTCAAGAGTGGAATAATATCAAAAGCCTGCAGCCTTGATTTGAAGAAATGTACAAAAAATTTCACAGACTGCCGCCAAAAAGATTTGTCTGAATTACTTTGTGCAGAGAATTTAAAAAAAAACTTGGTAGCATAAACTTTTCAAAAAGGCAAAAATATCGACTAGCATAAAAATCTAAATTCAAATATCGTCAAAATTGGCCGGGTTTATCTCAAAAAATTTCATCCACTCCTTGCAAAGAATTATCCCCCCCTTTTTGCAATAAAACAGACAAAATAGGTGTTAAAAAGGATTTTAAAAAAAAAGAAATTTCAAGTTAAAACTAAAGCAAACCTTTTGGTTTGGCAGGGGGTCGGATCCTCGAAGCGCCTCAAAACCTCTCCCACCCCTTCTCTAAATCCACCCCTTGTTCGGTGTGAGGTATGGCTGATCGGATTTTATGTGTTAAGGAATTTCATTTGCTGGTTGAATGCCAAATTTTTCTTTTTTCTATTTCACAGAATTGCAAGTTTCACTTTGAAAGGATTCTTTTCGTCTTAGAAAAAACATTCAAAGGTATTCTACTAAATAAGTTTTCATGTTTTCAAAGTTTTATGCTAGTCGAGCATTATGCTAGTCGAGCGATCAATGAAATAAAGACAAGCTGATGTTTTTTTTGCGTGTTGTAATAAAAAATTTCATAAAAAAATTGAAATTCAGGCATATTCGACAGCCATAGTAAAATAATGGCAATTTTTCAACATTCCAGAAAATCGACTGGAAAACAAAAAAAGTTTATTTTTCTCACTAACTTTGCATTAAATTTTTCGCTACAAAATGGCGCTACAAAGTTGGAAAAAACCCTGAAACTAAATTTTCACAGCTTGATTTAATAAATAAACTATTGCGAGCCTGCTCGCTCAAGACAAAATCAGACCAAAACTCAAAAACTTCGAACGGATTTTTCTCGTTTTTTTTCTCAATGAAAAATTGTTCAAATCACGACCGAAAGGTATTTCATAAGATATATCTATATCCCTTATCCCATTTCGATGCTTTCATGTGGTATCTGGTTTTGTGTGGAAAACAAAAAAAAAGAAGGAAACACAAGAAAACGAAAAAGAAAGAAAGAAAGAAAACTGAAACACACCCAAAAACAAAGTTCAATGGTCGAAACAACAAGAAATTTTATCAGACAATAAATGGCCATCTGAACGTTCAACTTGATACTATCAAATGTATTGTGGTTATTTTCAAACTTGAAACTTGATTTTTACTTGTCAGGGGAAAATTTTTATAAGTAGCGCTGATGATCCAGTTTTGTCAAACTACAAAAATTTATAGCCGAAAAAGTCGATCAAAGGAATATGGCTTGGGTGTTTTTTTTAAGGCATTTTAATACCTCAAAAACAGAGAAAGCTCATAGAAGGTCAAGAGTGGAATAATATCAAAAGCCTGCAGCCTTGATTTGAAGAAATGTACAAAAAATTTCACAGACTGCCGCCAAAAAGATTTGTCTGAATTACTTTGTGCAGAGAATTTAAAAAAAAACTTGGTACCATAAACTTTTCAAAAAGGCAAAAATATCGACTAGCATAATAATCTAAATTCAAATATCGTCAAAATTGGCCGGGTTTATCTCAAAAAATTTCATCCACTCCTTGCAAAGAATTATCCCCCCCTTTTTGCAATAAAACAGACAAAATAGGTGTTAAAAAGGATTTAAAAAAAAAAGAAATTTCAAGTTAAAACTAAAGCAAACCTTTTGGTTTGGCAGGGGGTCGGATCCTCGAAGCGCCTCAAAACCTCTCCCACCCCTTCTCTAAATCCACCCCTTGTTCGGTGTGAGGTATGGCTGATCGGATTTTATGTGTTAAGGAATTTCATTTGCTGGTTGAATGCCAAATTTTTCTTTTTTCTATTTCACAGAATTGCAAGTTTCACTTTGAAAGGATTCTTTTCGTCTTAGAAAAAAAATTTTCAAAGTTATTCTAGTAAATACGTTTTCATGTTTTCAAAGTTTTATGCTAGTCGAGCTTTATGCTAGTCGAGCGATCAATGAAATAAAGACAAGCTGAAGTTTTTTTTGCGTGTTGTAATAAAAAGTTTTATAAAAAAATTGAAAATTAGGCATATTCGACAGCCATAGAACAATAATGGCAGTTTTTCAACATTTTTTCCAGAAAATTGACTGGAAAACAAAAAAAAATTATTTTTCTCATTACCTTTGCAATAAATTTTTTGCTACAAAATGGCACTACAAATGTATGTATGTATGAATGTATGTATGTATGTATGTATGTATGTATGTATGTATGTATGTATGTATGTATGTAGGTATGTATGTATGTATGTATGTATGTATGTATGTATGTATGTATGTATGTATGTATGTATGTATGTATGTATGTATGTATGTATGTATGTATGTATGTATGTATGTATGTATGTAGAAGCGAGTTGGAAAAAATCGCTGAAACTAAATTTTTACGGCTTGATTTATTAAATAAACTATTGCGAGCCTGCTCGCTCAAGACAAAATCAGACCACAACTCAAAAACTTCAAACGGATTTTTCTCGTTTTTTTTTTCTAAATAAAAAATTATTCAAATCACGACTGAAAGGTATTTCATAAGATATATCTATATCCCTTATCCCATTTTGATGCTTTCATGTGGTATCTGGTTTTTTGTGGAAAACAAAAAAAAGAAGGAAACACAAGAAAACGAAAAAGAAAGAAAGAAAGAAAGAAAGAAAGAAAGAAAACTGAAACACACCTGAAAACAAAGTTCAATGGTCGAAACAACAAGAAATTTTATCAGACAATAAATGGCCATCTGAACGTTCATGGCTTCAACTTGATACTATCAAATGTATTGTCTTTATTTTCAAACTTCAAACTTGATTTTTACTTGTCAGTGGGAAAATTTGTATAAGGAGCGCTGATGATCCAGTTTTGTCAAACTACAAACATTTATAGCCGAAAAAGTCGATCAAAGGAATATGGCTTGGGTGTTTTTTTCAAGGCACTTTAATACCTCAAAAACAGAGAAAGCTCATAGAAGGTCAAGAGTGGAATAATATCAAAAGCCTGCAGCCTTGATTTGAAGAAATGTACAAAAAATTTCACAGACTGCCGCCAAAAAGATTTGTCTGAATTACTTTGTGCATAGTATTTTAAAAAAGCACATATCATGCTCGCAGTTTTCTTTTAACTCAGTAGCTCCTTAATAAAAAAATCAGCAGAAAAATGAGAAAAAATGAGAAAATCAGCAAAAATAACAATACAACTAGTCTTTGTTTTGTTATTTTTTTTACTTAGCTTATAATGGCTGGTACTTTTTGCAAGCGTGGATTTTTATCTCATAATTTTTTAGATTGAAAATTATAAAATAAAAGCCGTTGTAAAATGCCTAACGCAAGGTTAACACTGTGCGCAGAGACCTCTGCATGTAAAAACGGATGAAAATTTTTATTTATATATATATTATTTTAAGTCGCGTGGCAATTTGTCGCTTATTTGACGTGGAATTATTGTTTTCTAGGTCGATTGGAGGTCGAATCCTGACTGGTTCGATGCTCTGAATCTGAGTCGCTACGAAGACCTCCGTGATCTCTACGACTTCACACTCATGGACAGGGGTCTCGTCACCAACACAGGTATAAAAAAAATAAGGGAGGGGGGGTGGTAACGATGACAAATATGGCTCTTTTTCAGCCACCCAAACTTCCTAAATTGACAATGCTTGGTATAAAAAATTGTTAATACTATAACTCACGCGTGGTAGGAAAATGTTACATAGGAAATGAGGGAGAATTTGTAAATGAGTCAAAAAGGAGGCCGAGGGAGAATTTGTAAATGAGTCAAAAAGTATTTTCAAATTTGAGACTATGGATTTTTTTTCAGCTGGGAAAGTAAATAGGTGATATGTGTTGTATAGAGTAAATTAGTTCATTTCGGAAGCTGTCAACCAAATGTTCACTCTCGGTGCTAGACTAATTGATTAGCAGGTGTTTGTCCTTGGAACAGTCTGTCACCCTTGGATATTGTCTCTAACCACTCTCTATGCTAACTTTGTAAGATTAAGTTGACGATCTCTTCTATCGGAATTAACAATTAGACGACGATCGTTTTACCTCCTTGACATGGCGCAGCCAGCAGTCTCAGGTGGGGGAAAGAATCCACTGGGCATCACGGGATTTTGGCCAGCGAAATGCACGGAACCGCCAATGATGTGGGAATTTTGGATTAACAGATTCCAATGGGGAATGGTCGCCAAGCACTCACTAAACCCGAAGAACTTCTACTACGCCAGCACTCTCTCAGCTGCTCAAGTTACTGCCTTGCCCGAGGAAGTAGATGGGAAAAACCGACTGGAATCAGAACAGGTGTTGATTTCCAATCTGTATTTGTGTCTGGGGGAGAAGGGGCAGGATAAACTGCACAAAAGACGACCACACCTGGACCTCTCGACGATTCGTTACTCACGAATGATTGAAGCACTGGAAACGGAAATTAAGAAAGAAAGAAATGAAACATATGAGACATACCAACTCCTTTCTCGTAAGCAATTTATCCCTGAAAGTTTGGAGCAATTCCATTCCGTACTCAGCGGATTGGCAGCGCGGTGCAACTTTGGAACACTATAGGACCGGATACTAAGAGATGTATTCATCGTTAACATGAATAATCGTGATGCACAAAAGGAATTATGCAGGTCGACGAAAACACCTGAGGAAGTGTACCGGATAGCCTTCTCGTACGAGAGGGGTAACAAGTATGCATCATCATATGTTGCCACGGGACCAGGGGGGGGCAAGGATCAGCATCAGGAGGCGGAGGAATCCCAATAAAATCGGAGCCAGTCGGAATAATCCGTGGAGGTTATCGGAACAATCGTGCAAGGGGCCGGGGCCCTTACCAAGGGCGAGGATCGAATCGAGGTAGAACCTTTCCCAACAACAATAGATGCTATAACTGCGATCAACAAAATTTCACCAGGGAACACTTGGACAGATGTCCCGCTAAAGGCGTTACATGCAATTTTTGCCACAAAATTGGCCATTTCGAACGTACCTGTAGGGGGAAGCGTGGAAACCAGCGGGGACAGGGAGCCGTAGGAATGATACGGGAGAATGTCGACGATGGTCATCTGGAAAACTCGGCGGAAGAAGAAGCGTCACAACATGCAAGTTCCATTGGATGGGTCAATAAGAATCCAGTGGTGCACTCGTGGGACTCGAGCAGCTCAGACGGGGACTAAATGGTCATGGCGATAAAACGAAAAAGAGTCACAGAATTGAAAGTTGCTGGGGCACAATTGCCGATTAAAGTCAACGAGAAACCCACTCGAGTGTGGATCGATAGCGGGTCTCCAATTTCGATTTTCACTATTGGAGAATTGCGGAAGACTTTGGGAACGTCAGGAGTGAAATTGGATAACCTTACGGAGGAGGATAATGCTTTTCGGGATTATGGAAACAATCCACTACAGATGATTGGAACAATGGCAGTAACAATTCAAACAAACGGCTGGATGATACATGCAAGGATAAAAGTAATCGGAGGGAACCGACCATCAATAATTGGAAGAGATCTGATGCCCCAGTTAGGACTCCAGTTGGTGCAACAATCACCAGGGAAACACATAATGTCCGTTGAAGAAAGCAGTCAGGACGCACTGGAACCGGAGGGGGAGTTGGATTCATGGCAAACCTATTTCAGTAAGCAGTTTTCAAACCTTTTTAGCAGGGTGGGAAAAATAAGAAACTACAAAGTACAAGCAGAATTTTTTGAAAACCGCACCCCAGTGCAACAGAAGGGGCGTCGAGTTCCGATTTCGTTACAAGAAAAAGTGGATACTGAAATTGAAAAATTATTGCAACAGGGTCATATTGAAAAACTAACAGAATGCTCGGACAAATATTTTGTGTCCCCAATAATAATAACAGTAAGAAAAGATGGGTCCGTGAAATTGGCACTCGAGTCGAGAGAACTAAATAAACAAGTGCATAAGAATAAATATCAAATGCCGAATATCGAGGAACTAATGGACACGGTTGGGCAAACGATTAGTGAAAAAAAAACAGGGAGACATATACTTCACAACAATGGATTTAACATACGCGTATGGCCAACTGCCACTAAACGCTGAAACGAGCGTACAGTGCAATTTCTCTCTTATCGGAGGCCACTCGACGGGTACGTACCGGTTCAAGACCGGATTCTATGGTCTCACCACAATGCCCGCGGAATTCCAACGCGCAATGGACTGTATACTTGCCGAATACCCGCAGGCGCACGCGTTCATCGATGATATTTTGGTCGTAACCAAGCGAACGGCGATAGACCACATAGCGACGGTTGAGAAAATTTTAAAGAAACTGGATCGTGAAAATATGTCCTTAAAATTGACAAAATATAAATTCGCCCAGCGAGAATGCGAATGGCTAGGCCATAAAATAACCTCGACTGGAATCACTCCATTGGTTAGGAAAACAGAACCAATAGAGTCGCTAACGCCGCCACGGACCTTGTCGCAATTAAAATCGTTCATGGGGTCAATCCACAGTTTGCAAAAGTATCTACCGGCATTAGCGGAATCATCGGCGCCGCTGCGACCCCTACTAAGCAAAAATAATGAATACATTTGGACACCTGAATGCCAGAACGCGTTCGAAAATCTTAAGAAACAAGTTTCTAATATTGTTGAATTACGACACTTTGATATCCACAAAGACATTCGTATAGTGTACGATGCAAGCCATAACGGGCTCGGCGCAGTGTTGGAACAGTTAGGACCATAAGGATGGCGCCCCATTTCGTTTGCGTCGCGATATCTTAACGAAGCGGAAAAGAAATATTCAACAAACGAATTGGAAATGTTGGCAGTTGTGTGGGGGGCTGAATACTTTAGAAATTACATCCTGGGCCGAAGTTTTTTGATCGTTACCGATCATAAGGCCCTAATATCCGTTTTGAATGGTAATAACAAGAAAAATAAAACAATGTTTAGTCGTTAAACGCGCTGGTTAGATCGACTTATCCCCTTTGATTTCCAAATTGAACATAAACCAGGGGCTAAAATTGGTTTGGCGGACTACTTATCACGTCATCCAAGTAGAGAAGCAACGCCAATTAGTACGTATGATAATATGTTTACGGTGGCAAAGATCAACCTAATTCGCACCGCTCTTGGCTTTAATACATCCAAGGGACACAATACATCCAAGGGACCAACTTGTAGTACAGCGGATAATAAGCATTCTATAAATAGACTGGAAGTTTCGTCACAAAATGACTCGGTAGAGGGCGGAAAAACATGCAAGCGAATATCAACCAATCAGATTCAAACACGTAATTTGAGCCGACGGCTACGCGAAATACGCACTGGATTAGTTGGGGCTATTATTCAATCAGAACAAAGTTGTTCAAAATTCTCTAAATCCAACGCTCAAATTCCAAAAATTTTTAAATCCAGCCCTCAATTGTCAAAATCAGATAGCAACATGGACCAAAGCATGCGCAAATGGCAGAAATTCCTTAAACAACACCCAAGTCTGAATAGTAGTAGCGACGAAATTGAAGAATTGCCCCCAAATGTATCACTAGAGGCCGTTACCAAAGAAACAAGATCGATACGCACTAACACAACTCTCTCGTTACCCTCGGCATTCAAAGGAGAAACAATACCACCAGTGGACCCGAACCTTGTATGTATGTCAATTATCCCTCGGAATTGCAAAATTGTTAACAAAGCTACTTCATTACCTGATCTGTTTAATTTAAAATTCATAGAATCGAATTATGTATCTGACCCCCAGCTGAGCGCTATTCGCGATCTCATTGTTACAAAGGATCCTGAAATCCATGAAAAAATTACTGAAATGAACCGCTATTACGCCCAATTTGCCAATGACTTCTCGGTAAAGGAAAACGTGGTTTGGATGGATGAGAAATTAGTAATTCCAATTAACCATCAATCAGCAATTAATAACCGAATCCATGCGTACCACCACGGAAAATCAAATATGTTCGATGCCGCAAAAGATGTCGGGTACCCTTACATTTACCGCTCAATAGCTTCCATTGCCGAAGGGTGTCCCGAATGTACCGCAGCTGGTAAAAACTTAAAAACGATAATAAAAAAAAAATCAACTTGGAACTGTACCGGAACCAAAAGAACCAAACGAATCAATCCAATTAGATTTTTGGGGCCCCATCAATTATTTAAATGAATCCCAAAATTATGTACTAGTGGCAGTCGACCGGTTTTCTCGTTGGCCATCGGCAATGGTATGTGAAAATAATCGGTCGGACAAAATATCGAAATTCTTGAAGAGCTATATAACAAACCACGGGGTGCCACGGAAAATTCACATTGATCAGGGAAATAGTTTCATGTCAAACGCGATTAAAGCTTTTTGCAATGGGGAGGGCATTGAAATCATTAAATCACCAGTAAACGACCATCGAGCAACCGGGTGCGTCGAGCGTACCATTGGCAGTCTTAAGAATTCTATCCTTACCTTCGCTCATGAAAAGAATCCCGAACCCTTGGAGAAAATGGTCGAACGGGCCCTTGGTGCTCTCAGATTCTCAAAAAACTCGACACTTAAAATTTCGCTTTTTGAAGCCCATCATGGTAGAGAAGCGAACACAGTTTTACGGAATCTTACTAAGAAGCCATCGCTGCAAAATCTGGATTGGTCACGGGTTATAACAACAAAAAATGCTTGTTTAGATGCCGCCGATCCAAATGTGCAAGACATGCCCCGCCCAGCCGATACAAACTGGAGTGTAAGATCGGATCTCGCCTACGATATCAAAAACAGGACACACACACGACGACTTACAGTGGACCAATCCGGGAATCAAAACGACGAACCGTCGATACTTAGGAGTGCGAACTCCAATGGACAACCGGGACCATCTGGATTGTTGTTCCAGCGAACTGGGAACAGAAACCTAAAAAGGTATAGACAAATTCACTCTAAAATAAGATCCGAAAGTACACATACACTAACGTTAGATAATGGGGTTGTGCTTAGGAAATCGGGAGTGGCCACGAAGCCCAAACCAAAGAAGTCGAAAGTTGCAACAAAATCCGTTTTACCGGTACCATCGAGTGAAGTGGAAAAGCGAGCAAGCCAAATAATATTACCACCGCCGACTCCGCGCGAAGTTAAGACACGATATGAACAACGACTTGCCGAAAACAAACAGGAAAAAACCAGGCGCCGATTCGAAGATACTGGTTCGGAATCTGAAGACAGCGAAGATTTGCCGATTATCTCGGTAAAACGGGCTAAGCAGACAGTAACTACCACCCCTGATGCACCTATAGAACGTTCAGCAACAGCACTAACAGAGGTCGATGTTGGGAGTGACCAGGACACCATTCCGGCACATGGCGGTGAGTTGGATCATCAAAATCCAAGGGAGCAAGGGACGTCCAATCCAGGGAACCAGTCGAAATCTAGTATTACCAGTAAGAAAAAGGGAGCCGCATCGAAGAAAGCCAGGCTGGTCTCATACAGCAGCCAAGGGGATAGCCAGGACTAGACCTCATCCACGACGTCTAGAAGAAGCGGGCGCAAAAGAACTGCGGTCACCAAGATGGGGGGCGTAATGATTGACTTCATCAATCAAAACAAGGAAGGGAACAAGTGACCGATAAAATCTAGAAAACTTTCGTTAAACTGTTCTAACCCAGGGAGAGGGTGGGTCATTAGTGACTAAAAACTCAATTGGTATCACTGCTCAGTGATCTTTTAGTTGATGAAAATTTGTTAGTATAAAAGTCTAAATTGTATGTCAACCATCTATGATCAATCATTTCAGTCATTTAAAGTCAACATGTGAAACCATTCTATTTCACTAAATTTTCATTATCGAAGGGGAAGTGTTGTATAGAGTAAATTAGTTCATTCGGAAGCTGTCAATCAAATGTTCACTCTCGGTGCTAGACTAATTGATTACCAGGTGTTTGTCCTTGGAACAGTCTGTCACCCTTGGATATTGTCTCTAACCACTCTCTATGCTAACTTTGTAAGATTAAGTTGACTATCTCTTCTATCGGAATTAACAATTAGACGACGATCGTTTTACCTCCTTGACCTATGTAATCAGGGGATTGCGTTCAAAAACTGCTGCTTGTATTTTCTGATTTGAATATGCTAGAAAATTTCCTGATTTTTTAATTCAGAAGAAAGAAAAGTATCTCAAAGAAAAGCTTTTTTCCAGTATCTCATCCCTCGTAAAAATGCATCATAAATTTTTTTAAAAATTAGTAATTTTTCATACGGCAATTTGTATGCAGTGGTGTATTTTGTACAAAAATTGTTCGCTTCTTCACGCTGACGCGTTTTATAGCAGTTAAAAACTTCAAAAGTCATTTTAAATAGGCTTTCTTGAACAAAAATTCAGAGATAATCAAAAAAGGGGGATTGGAAAAGAGCCGACCGAAAATTTAATTATATTTTACACAGGCGCTGACAAGGACAATTTCATCAGGTCCTGTTCTTTTGACAGAAGCGAGTGCTCTTCCGACGATTTCTACCAGTTCGAAAACGCAAGAGTAAGTCTTAGTTTGAGTTTTTCAAGAAGGAAATCCAGCTCCCGAAAAGCAAGAAAAAATCTCGGCGTCAAGGATAAAATGATCTGATTAGAAGGTGTGGGGAAGGGGGGGTGGACGCTTCTTCTCCTCAGGGATTCGACCCTCTCACCAACCAAAGGGTCCCCCTTTGGTATTATTTTTTGATATCATTTTTCGGCCGACAAACCCTAAAATTTTTCTAAAGGTGTCTTTGGTGCCAATATATACTAATTGTGAAGGGAAAGCGCGGGCCGAAAATGCGCGATGTTTTGGTGAAAGTTAAAAAAAGTATTTTGTAATTGTACTTTCAAAAAAACTCAGATTGTGACAGTCTTTGAAATTTCCTATGCCTATTGCATAAAAAAAGCCATCTGGTCTTGTTTTAGTATGGAAATTGTTTCACTTTCAACGCCCCAATTGACGAGGAGGACAATTTCAACGAGTCAAACATTCGCCGCACAGGGCGAACTGGATCCGACTTTGGACTGAAACTGACGCTATTCGTGGACTCGGAGGACTACTTAGGTATTCTGGGTCACAAAACGGGCGCGAAAGTGGTGATTCATTCTCCGTCTATAGAACCAGATCTCACAATGGCAGTAACAATTCAAACAAACGGCTGGATGATACATGCATGGATAAAAGTAATCGGAGGGAACCGACCATCAATAATTGGAAGAGATCTGATGCCCCAGTTAGGACTCCAGTTGGTGCAACAATCACCAGGGAAACACATAATGTCCGTTGAAGAAAGCAGTCAGGACGCACTGGAACCGGAGGGGGAGTTGGATTCATGGCAAACCTATTTCAGTAAGCAGTTTTCAAACCTTTTTAGCAGGGTGGGAAAAATAAGAAACTACAAAGTACAAGCAGACTTTTTTGAAAACCGCACCCCAGTGCAACAGAAGGGGCGTCGAGTTCCGATTTCGTTACAAGAAAAAGTGGATACTGAAATTGAAAAATTATTGCAACAGGGTCATATTGAAAAACTAACAGAATGCTCGGACAAATATTTTGTGTCCCCAATAATAATAACAGTAAGAAAGGATGGGTCCGTGAAATTGGCACTCGAGTCGAGAGAACTAAATAAACAAGTGCATAAGAATAAATATCAAATGCCGAATATCGAGGAACTAATGGACACGGTTGGGCAAACGATTAGTGAAAAAAAAACAGGGAGACATATACTTCACAACAATGGATTTAACATACGCGTATGGCCAACTGCCACTAAACGCTGAAACGAGCGTACAGTGCAATTTCTCTCTTATCGGAGGCCACTCGACGGGTACGTACCGGTTCAAGACCGGATTCTATGGTCTCACCACAATGCCCGCGGAATTCCAACGCGCAATGGACTGTATACTTGCCGAATACCCGCAGGCGCACGCGTTCATCGATGATATTTTGGTCGTAACCAAGCGAACGGCGATAGACCACATAGCGACGGTTGAGAAAATTTTAAAGAAACTGGATCGTGAAAATATGTTCTTAAAATTGACAAAATATAAATTCGCCCAACGAGAATGCGAATGGCTAGGCCATAAAATAACCTCGACTGGAATCACTCCATTGGTTAGGAAAACAGAACCAATAGAGGCGCTAACGCCGCCACGGACCTTGTCGCAATTAAAATCGTTCATGGGGTCAATCCACAGTTTGCATAAGTATCTACCGGCATTAGCGAAATCATCGGCGCCGCTGCGACCCCTACTAAGCAAAAATAATGAATACATTTGGACACCTGAATGCCAGAACGCGTTCGAAAATCTTAAGGAACAAGTTTCTAATTTTGTTGAATTACGACACTTTGATATCCACAAAGACATTCGTATAGTGTGCGATGCAAGCCATAACGGGCTCGGCGCAGTGTTGGAACAGTTAGGACCAGAATGATGGCGCCCCATTTCGTTTGCGTCGCGATATCTTAACGAAGCGGAGAAGAAACATTCAACAAACGAATTGGAAATGTTGGCAGTTGTGTGGGGGGCTGACTATTTTAGAAATTACATCCTGGGCCGAAGTTTTTTGATCGTTACCGATCATAAGGCCCTAATATCCGTTTTGAATGGTAATAACAAGAAAAATAAAACAATGTTTAGTCGTTAAACGCGCTGGTTAGATCGACTAATCCCCTTTGATTTCCAAATTGAACATAAACCAGGGGCTAAAATTGGTTTGGCGGACTACTTATCACGTCATCCAAGTAGAGAAGCAACGCCAATTAGTACGTATGATAATATGTTTACGGTGGCAAAGATCAACCTAATTCGCACCGCTCTTGGCTTTAATACATCCAAGGGACACAATACATCCAAGGGACCAACTTGTAGTACAGCGGATAATAAGCATTCTATAAATAGACTGGAAGTTTCGTCACAAAATGACTCGGTAGAGGGCGGAAAAACATGCAAGCGAATATCAACCAATCAGATTCAAACACGTAATTTGAGCCGACGGCTACGCGAAATACGCACTGGATTAGTTGGGGCTATTATTCAATCAGAACAAAGTTGTTCAAAATTCTCTAAACCCAACGCTCAAATTCCAAAAATTTTTAAATCCAGCCCTCAATTGTCAAAATCAGATAGCAACATGGACCAAAGCATGCGCAAATGGCAGAAATTCCTTAAACAACACCCAAGTCTGAATAGTAGTAGCGACGAAATTGAAGAATTGCCCCCAAATGTATCACTAGAGGCCGTTACCAAAGAAACAAGATCGATACGCACTAACACAACTCTCTCGTTACCCTCGGCATTCAAAGGAGAAATAATACCACCAGTGGACCCGAACCTTGTATGTATGTCAATTATCCCTCGGAATTGCAAAATTGTTAACAAAGCTACTTCATTACCTGATCTGTTTAATTTAAAATTCATAGAATCGAATTATGTATCTGACCCCCAGCTGAGCGCTATTCGCGATCTCATTGTTACAAAGGATCCTGAAATCCATGAAAAAATTACTGAAATGAACCGCTATTACGCCCAATTTGCCAATGACTTCTCGGTAAAGGAAAACGTGGTTTGGATGGGTGAGAAATTAGTAATTCCAATTAACCATCAATCAGCAATTAATAACCGAATCCATGCGTACCACCACGGAAAATCAAATATGTTCGATGCCGCAAAAGATGTCGGGTACCCTTACATTTACCGCTCAATAGCTTCCATTGCCGAAGGGTGTCCCGAATGTACCGCAGCTGGTAAAAACTTAAAAACGATAATAAAAAAAATCAACTTGGAACTGTACCGGAACCAAAAGAACCAAACGAATCAATCCAATTAGATTTTTGGGGCCCCATCAATTATTTAAATGAATCCCAAAAATATGTACTAGTGGCAGTCGACCGGTTTTCTCGTTGGCCATCGGCAATGGTATGTGAAAATAATCGGTCAGACAAAAAATTGAAATTCTTGAAGAGCTATATAACAAACCACGGGGTGCCACGGAAAATTCACATTGATCAGGGAACTAGTTTCATGTCAAACGCGATTAAAGCTTTTTGTAATGGGGAGGGCATTGAAATCATTAAATCACCAGTAAACGACCATCGAGCAACCGGGTGCGTCGAGCGTACCATTGGCAGTCTTAAGAATTCTATCCTTACCTTCGCTCATGAAAAGAATCCCGAACCCTTGGAGAAAATGGTCGAACGGGCCCTTGGTGCTCTCAGATTCTCAAAAAACTTTTTGCTTTTTGAAGCCCATCATGGTAGAGAAGCGAACACAGTTTTACGGAATCTTACTAAGAAGCCATCGCTGCAAAATCTGGATTGGTCACGGGTTATAACAACAAAAAATGCTTGTTTAGATGCCGCCGATCCAAATGTGCAAGACATGCCCCGCCCAGCCGATACAAACTGGAGTGTAAGATCGGATCTCGCCTACGATATCAAAAACAGGACACACACACGACGACTTACAGTGGACCAATCCGGGAATCAAAACGACGAACCGTCGATACTTAGGAGTGCGAACTCCAATGGACAACCGGGACCATCTGGATTGTTGTTCCAGCGAACTGGGAACAGAAACCTAAAAAGGTATAGACAAATTCACTCTAAAATAAGATCCGAAAGTACACATACACTAACGTTAGATAATGGGGTTGTGCTTAGGAAATCGGGAGTGGCCACGAAGCCCAAACCAAAGAAGTCGAAAGTTGCAACAAAATCCGTTTTACCGGTACCATCGAGTGAAGTGGAAAAGCGAGCAAGCCAAATAATATTACCACCGCCGACTCCGCGCGAAGTTAAGACACGATATGAACAACGACTTGCCGAAAACAAACAGGAAAAAACCAGGCGCCGATTCGAAGATACTGGTTCGGAATCTGAAGACAGCGAAGATTTGCCGATTATTTCGGTAAAACGGGCTAAGTAGACAGTAACTACCACCCCTGATGCACCTATAGAACGTTCAGCAACAGCACTAACAGAGGTCGATGTTGGGAGTGACCAGGACACCATTCCGGCACATGGCGGTGAGTTGGATCATCAAAATCCAAGGGAGCAAGGGACGTCCAATCCAGGGAACCAGTCGAAATCTAGTATTACCAGTAAGAAAAAGGGAGCTGCATCGAAGAAAGCCAGGCTGGTCTCATACAGCAGCCAAGGGGATAGCCAGGACTAGACCTCATCCACGACGTCTAGAAGAAGCGGGCGCAAAAGAACTGCGGTCACCAAGATGGGGGGCGTAATGATTGACTTCATCAATCAAAACAAGGAAGGGAACAAGTGACCGATAAAATCTAGAAAACTTTCGTTAAACTGTTCTAACCCAGGGAGAGGGTGGGTCATTAGTGACTAAAAACTCAATTGGTATCACTGCTCAGTGATCTTTTAGTTGATGAAAATTTGTTAGTATAAAAGTCTAAATTGTATGTCAACCATCTATGATCAATCATTTCAGTCATTTAAAGTCAACATGTGAAACCATTCTATTTAACTAAATTTTCATTATCGAAGGGGAAGTGTTGTATAGAGTAAATTAGTTCATTCGGAAGCTGTCAATCAAATGTTCACTCTCGGTGCTAGACTAATTGATTAGCAGGTGTTTGTCCTTGGAACAGTCTGTCACCCTTGGATATTGTCTCTAACCACTCTCTATGCTAACTTTGTAAGATTAAGTTGACTATCTCTTCTATCGGAATTAACAATTAGACGACGATCGTTTTACCTCCTTGACATATGTAATCAGGGGATTGCGTTCAAAAACTGCTGCTTGTATTTTCTGATTTGAACATGCTAGAAAATTTCCTGATTTTTTAATTCAGAAGAAAGAAAAGTATCTCAAAGAAAAGCTTTTTTCCAGTATCTCATCCCTCGTAAAAATGCATCATAAATTTTTTTAAAAATTAGTAATTTTTCATACGGCAATTTGTATGCAGTGGTGTATTTTGTACAAAAATTGTTCGCTTCTTCACGCTGACGCGTTTTATAGCAGTTAAAAACTTCAAAAGTCATTTTAAATAGGCTTTCTTGAACAAAATTTCAGAGATAATCAAAAAAGGGGGCTTGGAAAAGAGCCGACCGAAAATTTAATTATATTTTACACAGGCGCTGACAAGGACAATTTCATCAGGTCCTGTTCCTTTGACAGAAGCGAGTGCTCTTCCGACGATTTCTACCAGTTCGAAAACGCAAGAGTGAGTCTTAGTTTCAGTTTTTCAAGAAGGAAATCCAGCTCTCGAAAAGCAAGAAAAAATCTCAGCGTCAAGGATAAAATGATCTGATTAGAAGGTGTGGGGAAGGGGGGGGGTGGACGCTCCTTCTCCTCAGGGATTCGACCCTCTCACCAACCAAAGGGTCCCCTTACCGGGGCCCTTACCAAGGGCGAGGATCGAATCGAGGTAGAACCTTTCCCAACAACAATAGATGCTATAACTGCGATCAACAAAATTTCACCAGGGAACACTTGGACAGATGTCCCGCTAAAGGCGTTACATGCAATTTTTGCCACAAAATTGGCCATTTCGAACGTACCTGTAGGGGGAAGCGTGGAAACCAGCGGGGACAGGGAGCCGTAGGAATGATACGGGAGAATGTCGACGATGGTCATCTGGAAAACTCGGCGGAAGAAGAAGCGTCACAACATGCAAGTTCCATTGGATGGGTCAATAAGAATCCAGTGGTGCACTCGTGGGACTCGAGCAGCTCAGACGGGGACTAAATGGTCATGGCGATCAAACGAAAAAGAGTCACAGAATTGAAAGTTGCTGGGGCACAATTGCCGATTAAAGTCAACGAGAAACCCACTCGAGTGTGGATCGATAGCGGGTCTCCAATTTCGATTTTCACTATTGGAGAATTGCGGAAGACTTTGGGAACGTCAGGAGTGAAATTGGATAACCTTACGGAGGAGGATAATGCTTTTCGGGATTATGGAAACAATCCACTACAGATGATTGGAACAATGGCAGTAACAATTCAAACAAACGGCTGGATGATACATGCAAGGATAAAAGTAATCGGAGGGAACCGACCATCAATAATTGGAAGAGATCTGATGCCCCAGTTAGGACTCCAGTTGGTGCAACAATCACCAGGGAAACACATAATGTCCGTTGAAGAAAGCAGTCAGGACGCACTGGAACCGGAGGGGGAGTTGGATTCATGGCAAACCTATTTCAGTAAGCAGTTTTCAAACCTTTTTAGCAGGGTGGGAAAAATAAGAAACTACAAAGTACAAGCAGAATTTTTTGAAAACCTCACCCCAGTGCAACAGAAGGGGCGTCGAGTTCCGATTTCGTTACAAGAAAAAGTGGATGCTGAAATTGAAAAATTATTGCAACAGGGTCATATTGAAAAACTAACAGAATGCTCGGACAAATATTTTGTGTCCCCAATAATAATAACAGTAAGAAAGGATGGGTCCGTGAAATTGGCACTCGAGTCGAGAGAACTAAATAAACAAGTGCATAAGAATAAATATCAAATGCCGAATATCGAGGAACTAATGGACACGGTTGGGCAAACGATTAGTGAAAAAAAAACAGGGAGACATATACTTCACAACAATGGATTTAACATACGCGTATGGCCAACTGCCACTAAACGCTGAAACGAGCGTACAGTGCAATTTCTCTCTTATCGGAGGCCACTCGACGGGTACGTACCGGTTCAAGACCGGATTCTATGGTCTCACCACAATGCCCGCGGAATTCCAACGCGCAATGGACTGTATACTTGCCGAATACCCGCAGGCGCACGCGTTCATCGATGATATTTTGGTCGTAACCAAGCGAACGGCGATAGACCACATAGCGACGGTTGAGAAAATTTTAAAGAAACTGGATCGTGAAAATATGTCCTTAAAATTGACAAAATATAAATTCGCCCAACGAGAATGCGAATGGCTAGGCCATAAAATAACCTCGACTGGAATCACTCCATTGGTTAGGAAAACAGAACCAATAGAGGCGCTAACGCCGCCACGGACCTTGTCGCAATTAAAATCGTTCATGGGGTCAATCCACAGTTTGCATAAGTATCTACCGGCATTAGCGAAATCATCGGCGCCGCTGCGACCCCTACTAAGCAAAAATAATGAATACATTTGGACACCTGAATGCCAGAACGCGTTCGAAAATCTTAAGAAACAAGTTTCTAATATTGTTGAATTACGACACTTTGATACCCACAAAGACATTCGTATAGTGTGCGATGCAAGCCATAACGGGCTCGGCGCAGTGTTGGAACAGTTAGGACCATAAGGATGGCGCCCCATTTCGTTTGCGTCGCGATATCTTAACGAAGCGGAAAAGAAATATTTAACAAACGAATTGGAAATGTTGGCAGCTGTGTGGGGGGCTGAATACTTTAGAAATTACATCCTGGGCCGAAGTTTTTTGATCGTTACCAATCATAAGGCCCTAATATCCGTTTTGAATGGTATTAACAAGAAAAATAAAACAATGTTTAGTCGTTTAACGCGCTGGTTAGATCGACTAATCCCCTTTGATTTCCAAATTGAACATAAACCAGGGGCTAAAATTGGTTTGGCGGACTACTTATCACGTCATCCAAGTAGAGAAGCAACGCCAATTAGTACGTATGATAATATGTTTACGGTGGCAAAGATCAACCTAATTCGCACCGCTCTTGGCTTTAATACACCCAAGGGACACAATACATCCAAGGGACCAACTTGTAGTACAGCGGATAATAAGCATTCTATAAATAGACTGGAAGTTTCGTCACAAAATGACTCGGTAGAGGGCGGAAAAACATGCAAGCGAATATCAACCAATCAGATTCAAACACGTAATTTGAGCCGACGGCTACGCGAAATACGCACTGGATTAGTTGGGGCTATTATTCAATCAGAACAAAGTTGTTCAAAATTCTCTAAATCCAACGCTCAAATTCCAAAAATTTTTAAATCCAGCCCTCAATTGTCAAAATCAAATAGCAACATGGACCAAAGCATTCGCAAATGGCAGAAATTCCTTAAACAACACCCAAGTCTGAATAGTAGTAGCGACGAAATTGAAGAATTGCCCCCAAATGTATCACTAGAGGCCGTTACCAAAGAAACAAGATCGATACGCACTAACACAACTCTCTCGTTACCCTCGGCATTCAAAGGAGAAACAATACCACCAGTGGACCCGAACCTTGTATGTATGTCAATTATCCCTCGGAATTGCAAAATTGTTAACAGAGCTACTTCATTACCTGATCTGTTTAATTTAAAATTCATAGAATCGAATTATGTATCTGACCCCCAGCTGAGCGCTATTCGCGATCTCATTGTTACAAAGGATCCTGAAATCCATGAAAAAATTACTGAAATGAACCGCTTTTACGCCCAATTTGCCAATGACTTCTCGGTAAAGGAAAACGTGGTTTGGATGGATGAGAAATTAGTAATTCCAATTAACCATCAATCAGCAATTAATAAACGAATCCATGCGTACCACCACGGAAAATCAAATATGTTCGATGCCGCAAAAGATGTCGGGTACCCTTACATTTACCGCTCAATAGCTTCCATTGCCGAAGGGTGTCCCGAATGTACCGCAGCTGGTAAGAACTTAAAAACGATAATAAAAAAAATCAACTTGGAACTGTACCGGAACCAAAAGAACCAAACGAATCAATCCAATTAGATTTTTGGGGCCCCATCAATTATTTAAATGAATCCCAAAAATATGTACTAGTGGCAGTCGACCGGTTTTCTCGTTGGCCATCGGCAATGGTATGTGGAAATAATCGGTCAGACAAAATATTGAAATTCTTGAAGAGCTATATAACAAACCACGGGGTGCCACGGAAAATTCACATTGATCAGGGAACTAGTTTCTTGTCAAACGCGATTAAAACTTTTTGTAATGGGGAGGGCATTGAAATCATTAAATCACCAGTAAACGACCATCGAGCAACCGGGTGCGTCGAGCGTACCATTGGCAGTCTTAAGAATTCTATCCTTACCTTCGCTCATGAAAAGAATCCCGAACCCTTGGAGAAAATGGTCGAACGGGCCCTTGGTGCTCTCAGATTCTCAAAAAACTCGACACTTAAAATTTCGCTTTTTGAAGCCCATCATGGTAGAGAAGCGAACACAGTTTTACGGAATCTTACTAAGAAGCCATCGCTGCAAAATCTGGATTGGTCACGGGTTATAACAACGAAAAATGCTTGTTTAGATGCCGCCGATCCAAATGTGCAAGACATGCCCCGCCCAGCCGATACAAACTGGAGTGTAAGATCGGATCTCGCCTACGATATCAAAAACAGGACACACACACGACGACTTACAGTGGACCAATCCGGGAATCAAAACGACGAACCGTCGATACTTAGGAGTGCGAACTCCAATGGACAACCGGGATCATCTGGATTGTTGTTCCAGCGAACTGGGAACAGAAACCTAAAAAGGTATAGACAAATTCACTCTAAAATAAGATCCGAAAGTACACATACACTAACGTTAGATAATGGGGTTGTGCTTAGGAAATCGGGAGTGGCCACGAAGCCCAAACCAAAGAAGTCGAAAGTTGCAACAAAATCCGTTTTACCGGTACCATCGAGTGAAGTGGAAAAGCGAGCAAGCCAAATAATATTACCACCGCCGACTCCGCGCGAAGTTAAGACACGATATGAACAACGACTTGCCGAAAACAAACAGGAAAAAACCAGGCGCCGATTCGAAGATACTGGTTCGGAATCTGAAGACAGCGAAGATTTGCCGATTATCTCGGTAAAACGGGCTAAGCAGACAGTAACTACCACCCCTGATGCACCTATAGAACGTTCAGCAACAGCACTAACAGAGGTCGATGTTGGGAGTGACCAGGACACCATTCCGGCACATGGCGGTGAGTTGGATCATCAAAATCCAAGGGAGCAAGGGACGTCCAATCCAGGGAACCAGTCGAAATCTAGTATTACCAGTAAGAAAAAGGGAGCTGCATCGAAGAAAGCCAGGCTGGTCTCATACAGCAGCCAAGGGGATAGCCAGGACTAGACCTCATCCACGACGTCTAGAAGAAGCGGGCGCAAAAGAACTGCGGTCACCAAGATGGGGGGCGTAATGATTGACTTCATCAATCAAAACAAGGAAGGGAACAAGTGACCGATAAAATCTAGAAAACTTTCGTTAAACTGTTCTAACCCAGGGAGAGGGTGGGTCATTAGTGACTAAAAACTCAATTGGTATCACTGCGCAGTGATCTTTTAGTTGATGAAAATTTGTTAGTATAAAAGTCTAAATTGTATGTCAACCATCTATGATCAATCATTTCAGTCATTTAAAGTCAACATGTGAAACCATTCTATTTAACTAAATTTTCATTATCGAAGGGGAAGTGTTGTATAGAGTAAATTAGTTCATTCGGAAGCTGTCAATCAAATGTTCACTCTCGGTGCTAGACTAATTGATTAGCAGGTGTTTGTCCTTGGAACAGTCTGTCACCCTTGGATATTGTCTCTAACCACTCTCTATGCTAACTTTGTAAGATTAAGTTGACTATCTCTTCTATCAGAATTAACAATTAGACGACGATCGTTTTACCTCCTTGACATATGTAATCAGGGGATTGCGTTCAAAAACTGCTGCTTGTATTTTCTGATTTGAATATGCTAGAAAATTTCCTGATTTTTTAATTCAGAAGAAAGAAAAGTATCTCAAAGAAAAGCTTTTTTCCAGTATCTCATCCCTCGTAAAAA